GTCTAACTCACCTATAAGAAATACCCCAAAATACCCAAAAACATCCTGTTTGCTTTAGCTAAATGGCGATTAAGGACCCGGCCTAAAAGCATCGTAAGATATAGTAATAAAGTACAATTAATTAGATCTGTATAACTTTACTTTAACAAAAGGTGCTACGTTAGTTTGAAAAAATATATATTTCTTGGCCTACGAAAGTAAGGCATTTATGTCCCATTTCCCAACAAAATCTAATTAAATATGTTAAGGTTATTTATTTAATTTTCTGGCCGTTAAAGACTTAATCGATTTTGGTCACTGTACACAAATTTTGGTTGATTGCGTTGGGGTTTTGCTTAGGCGTTAGCTCGTGTTTTGATGAACGGCAGGTGTGAAACATTTCATTGCCCAAAAATAACGACCTCTGTGAATTTTCAACGTGCCCTCAGAATGCGGGCGCAGGCCTTGGATATTTATTGTCTAAACGAATCTGCCGCCGTTGGCTGAAGTGCTTCAAAATTAATGGCCGTGGCAACTTGAAAGCAATAAAGGGCCGATGAGTGGCCCCGGGGACGGGGCTTTAAAACTAAGTTACCTGGCCAACCCCAGCCCCCAAAGAATCCTTAGATCCTTATCGATTGGGTTTGTGCCTTAATTATGAGCTCGGTATGGAGGATTGGAGCTGGAAATGCTCTTTCTCTGATTGCCCGATGCTGATTGATGGCGCGTGTCAGTTAGATTAATCGTCTGCCAATGTTGAGGAAAGTGAATTTAAAGTGCATTAGGAATGTTTGGATAGTGATGTAACATAAAGTGGTAAATTTAATATGCATTTAGGCATCTAATGGATAATAATGATATTAGACGATATATATTTTTGTTTTCTACATTTTGTTTGTCAGTAAAATACAGTAAAACTGTAACCAAACCTAAAAGAAACACAACCAAAGTGCATCTCCACAACATGAAAATGGCATTAGCTGGTCTTGTGGCCAGAGTTAATTTTGGTAAATGCATTTGCTGGCCTTTTGGACGAGTGTCTGGCTTAAATTTTCAGCAAACAGACGCTACGTAAAGTCTCAGGCATTAATATTAAATGTGCTCGAGTGTAGAGGAGCTCAAATCATGCGAAACTTGAAATAAATTGTTAAGCATTCTACAAAAGCCAAGGTCGACCCAGGATTGGACCCAAGGCAAAGAGTGGAGGGCAATATATGTATGTATGTATGTAAGCCAAGTCAAGCAAAAGACTGGCAACAAGTTAGCAAACAAACAACAATGTCTTAGATGTGTGCATTAAAAGTCAACGACTCGGCAAATGAATTGCAGGCCCAGGCAAATTAAATTAGCGCAGCAACTCCTTGTCGTCGTTGTCGTCGTCCTTGCTGGTGACCCCTAGTCCAAATTATTTTACAGCAAATCCAGCGAACCCGAAAAAAAGCCCGGGATACAGGCATCCAGGGATGCCAACACTTTATGAGTCATTGGCCTGGCCGAAAAACTTCGCTATATGGCGGCATTAAATATTTAATTCACCTTGCATGAAGGTGGCGTAAATTGCGTTTAACCGTAATCAATAATCTCCAAGGTGGGCGGACTTAATTAGTCACATCTAACATTCCGTGGGGCAAATTTGGTCAGCGCAGCATGAAATTGTGCTTGCGAAATAATTAAAGTTAATGGCACATAAAAAATACACCAAAATTTGATTAGCTTGCAGCGGTTTTCTTAGTAACTTTGCTTATATTTTGGGTGTTTGGAAAGCAGATTTATCCTGTGGATATTTTTTGTTCTTAATTTCTGGTCTTAATAGGATAATTTTGTGGAATGTTTACCCAATTAGTTTATGCTTAATTGAAAAGAATGTTTCTTTACTTTTCAGTATAATATATATAATTTACTTGGCAAGTAATACATTTTAAAAGCATTCTGAAAATAATATACATCACATACCTTTGCGTGGCAGATGCCTTAAAGAAAAATAACAACTCCTGCCATTATATAATCTAACCATTTGATTACAAGTAACAAGCAATTAAACTTAATTGAACCTTAAAATTAGACGGATATATGATATACTTGCGCAAGTGCCATTAAGTAAGGCAAGTTCTAATATTACAGATATATTGGGATGTGGCAAATTTGAATGCCTTTTTAGCTGACCAGTGGCTCACGTTTCCGAGTGGCGGCACATAAGCTCCCACTCCCCCAATGGCAGTTCCGATTTCACAGCTCAGCATCTGACATAATTGCAGTGCCGACAATGAGCTTCAAGTTGGCCTCTAAACCAAACTCGTGGCAACTTTAATGCGTGTGGCCAGCAGAGCAAAGAGATTCCTTGTAAGAGAGCGACCGAAGAGAGTTGAAGAGAGAGTCTGCGCCCTGCTTGGCATCTCCTGTTGCTGCTATGCCCCGCCTGCATGGGCTTACGTAGCGTATACGCAACGCAACGTTGCTCATACGCCCTGTTGTCGCTGACAGGTTGGCTCAAGAAGTGGGGAGCCAACAGTTGGCGGCATCCAACGCATTCGAACGGTACCCAAGCGGAAGTGTGAACTTCAGCTTTGAGCAAAGATCCAAAATCCACTGCCGACAGCGTCTTCGGACAGGTTGCGTTGGCCTAGCATACTTATGCGTACAGCATATAAACCTATTATGGAACGTGTCCCGGCATCTCTCGGGTCCCTCGTCGAATCGGGTCCAAGAGGTGTTTTTTAGAAGCACTATTGGGGCGCTCGCAAATTCAAATCCATAAAAGTGTCATTAGGGTGCCGCATAAAGCACAAAAGGTCCGCTCTCTCCCTGTTCAGAAATTAATTAAAAAGACGGAGTCAGGTCCGAAATTAATGGCGCCCAAGATTTATGCAAAGGTTTGGGTAGTAACCGTCCCTAAGGAATATCCTGCTGAAATATATTTGCCTGAAAATGCTCTCAATTCATTTAGCAGCAATTGCAGGGAAAATACCAAAATGGATGAATGTTTAACCAGAGTCCAGAGTTCACTTCACAGGTTGTTTTTATTAGCTATATAAATAGTTGTCTTTCTTCCTGCTCTTTTTTTCGCCGCCCCTCCGAGAATAGAATATTAAATTTGTTTTCGTGTCGAGACGTAAAAGGTCAGGAGTTTAATTTTGCACGCAAAAATTAGCAAAAATAGAACTTAAATATTTATGAGAACCTGGTGCATGGGCGAGGGTGGATCCTAATTGGGGTTGTAGCAACGAGTTACGAGTGCGGTAATCTTCTGGATCTGCCCTCGTACGTGTGGCAGATAATTCAGACAACTGACTGCCATCCCTTGCACTTGTTTACGTTCCAAGCCTTGGAGCTCTCTTCGAGCATTGTTTGCCCCATAAAACAGCAGCCCCCAACAAATGTCAGATTGTCCAGGGTCCAGGCTAAAGAAGTAATATACATGACAAATACACACACTCGCACACACACACGCTGGGGTATGTGGGCAATTAAGTCCTGTGCTTAAGCCTGATGAGGTTTTCAGCGCGAGATAAATATCTGAGAAATAAAAGAGAGCAGCTCGGCCACATTTATCAGTCAAGCAGTCTGTTTGCTTGTCTCTTATGAACACTGGAAGAAAGATGTATTAAAGGAATGGATACACTATTTTGTACTCATATGGAATATATGCTTTCAAATGAAAGTTTAGTATGTACTTAAATGTTTATTAAGGGCATAAAAGATGACAGGTTTCCAAGGGTATACATAGCTTATGTTTAATAGCTTTATGCTTTTAAAGAGTTCTACATATTCCAGATTAATAACCAAATAAACTCAAAACGAGTTATATTTTCTTGTTGTGCAGAGTCGAGAGTAATAATTGCGTAGCCATATTACTGTTATTTGCTGAAGTAGGCGCCAGTACGAGATTAATTTGATTACACTCTGCAGCGTGTGAATAGCAAAGAGGAGGTGGTTGCTTTTATGGGAACCCGCTGATTACGAGCTGAACTCTGTGGGTTGAATCGAGGAATATTTGCCACCTGTTGCACTGCACTGTGGAGCATTTCCCCTTGGCCAAGTTTTCGGAAAGAACTTTGGCAAACATTCGCCAGACATTAAATTCCATCTCGAGTGGCGTTTCATTAGGAGCTAAACATAAATTAGCTTTTAAGTCGGTCTTTAGTTGTATTTGCTCTGCGTCTGATGTTAGCCGCCTCTCGTCTGCTGTCTGTTGCTTTGTTTAAAGTTCAAAAAGCGTGAAATGCTAACAAGTTAATTGAAATTCCTGCAGCGTTTCACGTGCGATTGTTTGCTTTCAGGACACAACAACCAGAAAGAGCCAGCTCACCCGAGAAGCATTTCTTTTCACTTTCCACGTCTCCTTCGGACCACTTTCTCTCCCCCTACTATTTCCCAGTTCCCAGCTCCCAGCAGTTTTCCCTTTCCCTTTGCTGAGCAAACACTTTTGCTGGTGTGAAAAAATGTAGACAAGTGTAAATTTATATTCCCCTCTGAGTAGGGGTCGGGAATCGGGGCGCGGCCACTTAGTTCTCGACGAGAGAAATATGAGAACGCAGCGTATAACTTCCAGCTTTCGACGTGGGCTATAAAAAAAATTTAAATATTTCTTCTCCAAGTGACTTTCCTCGCCAAATATCCAGAAAGCCATTTGCATTGTTTATTCAGCGCGACTTCAAACAGACAAAGTATCTGCTCTGTTTTCAGTTCTGCTTCGAGTAATTCCAGGTGTGCTCAATGTAACACAAAATGCACACGGAAAAATAATAAATGAAAATATAAAAGTAAATTTCAATGAAAATTTATACTTCAGAATTTTATGGCGCTCTTAGTTTTGGTTCTCTATATAATTTTCTATTTACAAAAGTTTATACATCGAACTGCGGATCTCATCAAATGACAGCTGTCGCATCATAAACTTTCTAAAGCCAATACATTAACTTAATAACCTGGCAAAAACTTACTATAAGAACCTAAATATAAACTTCTTTGTGGCTTAGTTTCATTTTAACTTCCTGCTGAAAAAGTCACCAAGCCAGGATACAATGCCAACCTTAAGGACTTTACTCATTTTCATAATCACTGGATCCTTGGTTAAGGGAAGCGACAATGCCCAGCTACAATTCCTCAACAAACTCACCGATATCATTGGCAATGAACGGGTGTTTGAGACAATTGTAATGGTTTGGCATCATGAAGATGAGGATTGTTTTCTCCAGCATTGGAATCCCAACGGAGTTCCCATTCTACGGTCCAATGAGATGGGCGAGATCCGAATAAGGGGCACTTTTAATAAAAATGCAGTAGCAATTGTCTGTCTCACGGGAAACTCCTTTCACGACTCCCATCTCCTTGAAGCTGTTGCAGGAGCTTTCGAGACATTGCGTCAGCAGAGGATCCTACTGTTGACCAAAAGAAAAATATCAAGGAAATTTATTAAATGGATCTCCATTCAAGCGGGGAAGCATAAATTTATGCGTATGCTAGTTCTGGAAATAGGTGGTCTTCCCACTGAAGTCACTTCATATCGCCTTGAGGCCTTTCCCATACCTCATTTTATTCGAATCAGGAATATTTCGAAAATCAAAGAGATCAAGTTCTACAATCGAAAGTACGATTTTCAAGGAAAGACGATTTTTGTCAAGCCAAGCACGGACGAGGATGGAAATGTAGGAACTAGTCTTTATCCCATAACCCGATTGGAGGACATGGAGGTCATAGAGTTTATCCGGAAGTACAATGGGAGTTTGAAAGTGCTTGCTGGAAACCACAGTGATGATGATGTTTGTGATATCCAATTAAGTACGCAGATTATAACCCTGGCAAACGTATCTACACAAATGGACTTAGTAAATCCCCATTCTGCAGCATCTCTATTGGTTGTTGTGCCCTGCAGCAATGAGCTGAGCTTTGAGGATGTTTTAAGAAGCCTGGGAGTCCTGACATGGATGTGGTACCTACTATGCGTTTATGCTGCCTTTGTCTTCGTGGAGACCTTAATTCTTGTGGTAACACATCGCTTAACTGGAGAATATCGTTTGCTTACCCTATGGAATCCACTCATGAATCTGCGAGCATATCGGGCCATTCTAGGCCTTTCCTTTCCAGAGTTGCGACGAGCAAGTCTCTCACTTCGACAACTTTTTCTGGCCATTACACTGTTTGGATTCATATTCAGTAACTTCTTCAGCTGCAAGCTGAGTGCCTTGCTCACAAGTCCTATAAAACGAGCTCAAGTCCGAAACTTTGAGGAGTTGAGAGAGAGCGGAATGATTACAGTCACAAACAATTACGTTCGTTCGTATATCGAGAATGAAATCGATCCTGAGTTCTTTCAAAGGGTTATCCCAAAATTTATAACCGTGGGACACATGGAACGGGTAAAATTATTTACATCCCTTGACAGACACTATAGCTTTATATTGTTATCCACAAATTGGGAATATTATAATCACTACCAGCAAGTTGTCGACTACAAGTATTATTGTGAGTCACCGGACTTAATTATCACTGAGAACTTACCTTGGGTATATGTAATGCCGAATAACTCGTTCTATAGCTGGCCATTATCCCGATTCCTAATGAGTGTCCACGAGAGCGGTATTACCAAACATTGGATTAAGACAATTATCAAGCGTTTGGCCAAGGCCTTTAAAGTAAAGGTGCCGCAAAGAAAATCAGAAGCAGCTCCCATAAGTTTGCAGAATCTGAGCTGGTTGTGGGAACTACTAATCTTGGGCTATGTTATAGCCACTTTGGTTTTTATTATAGAAATTTTAATTGGAAAAAGACCCAACAGGAGAGCTAGGAATGGTAATGGATCTAAAGTGTAGGAAGCCATTTACTAAGTTGTTATCCAAACATACTCTTTAACTCTTTAAAGTTATTTAAGGCATATACTTGTATGTTCTACGAATGTAAAATATTGAATACTTTTTCTTTAATAATTAAAATGAAGAATACATCCACAAATTGTTTTCTGTGTATGCACAGTTTATTGCACATGAGCGCCAAACTTTGGCAAAGGCCAAAACACAGAAGTTTTGAGCAAAACTAAAACTATAAAGGTCCAAGGATGGCTTTTACAATACCAGAGTTACAACTATCCCAAATGCGAATGATAACCCCGACAGCCGCTCTCGGTTGTCTGGGATTTACATATTTCACAAGTCATAGATATATACATATATACACACATATAAATAAACCGTGGAGCCGCTAAAAGCCACACCGCATCAAAATGGCCCCGGGGAATTGCGTCAAAATGAGAATGTGTAGAGCCGCATTTTCCGTCGTATATGTATATGTATATCGGGTTTTGTTTTGGCTTATCCGCACACCGAAAAAAATAAAAATAAATGTATGCCGCAAAATATGTTTATGTCGTTCCTTTGCCACAACCGTAAAATAACTTAAATTTATAAATAATTCGCATATAAAATAGAGGAAATAAAAGAGGTAGCTCCAAAAATAAATGTATTTTTTTTGTGTAGAGAAATGGGAATACAAAAACGTGCCAAATACTTTTCCATTCTCTTTAACCAGTGAAAAGTATACGTGGCATTGGGGGATTATTGCACAAAGCGCATAAACTTATTAAATATGCAAAATCTTTCATTTTTCCTGCGGTAAGCGGCAGGGGGAACGATGGTGCTGTCAGTCGCAAATTCGAGGCTCTGGCTGTATTATGATAAATGATTTGCCAGCGGGGAGTTGTCGAGCGAGCCGGGAGGCATAAATTATGTACTATGCCAGAGGTCAAAGGTAAACCTTTGCCAGGGGCGGGAGGAGGGGGAACCATGCCCCCAAGGGGCATGTGGCGTTTTCATTAACGTCCGACTCAAGCCCTCGTTTTCCAGCCGAGTGCAGCTGGCAAACTATCTTAATTAGCTTGCCGCTAGCCGAAAAGTTTATTCAACCTTTTGATTACCTTAACCCAAATACAAACAGAGCGAAACCCCAAATATGTCGTGCTGCACTGCAGTATAAAATCGATGATCCATTGACGATCCCGATTCCCCGGCAGGTGATTACCTAATGGTAATGGGTCTGCCTTAGCAGCGGAGGTTTTTGGTGTGGACGACGCACCCATTCCCAAGGATTGGGGCCACTCCTTCTTGCTTGGTCGACCCTAAGTGGAATGCGCCAAGTCGATTGGAAAGCAATTCGCTTGCCCTTGCCATGCATAAAATATGAGGCGGCATCCAGGGGCCATAACTCAATTTGCTGCCGTGCATCCTCTTCCTGCCATCTCCAATTTTCCGACATATTATTGCTACTACTATACTAGCTACTGGTACTGGTACTGGTACTGGTACTGGGATGCGGCGCCCATTTGGCATCATCATCAAATCGAAATCGGTATTGGTATCAGAATAAAAATAAAATGCCTGTCTGCAATTTGGTTTAGTTCAAAAGCCCATCAAACTCATTACGTAGCATTCAGGCTGACCATTTGGGGCAACTTTTGTTACGTTAACGAAACAGGATTCTTGATGCCCTTTTAAGGGGGAGTATTGCACTTTTTGTAGACGTATTTTATAGGAATGAATAATAATAATAAGTAATATAATAATATAATAATATGTATTATATATTAGTTAAAATGTTTATAAAGTATTTTATTCAGAATAATCAGAATAATCTTAAGAAGCTAAGTTAATAAATTGGTTAGAATTCTGCAAATGTAAAATAAATTAAATATAAATATTTAAACCGTTTTATATAGATCACATAATCTTTGAATTATTTTTCAGAGACTTTTAAATCTCTCTAGAGTGTCTCTTATTTACGCTTTAAACGAATTTTGAGGATGTATTTTCCCAACTCAGAGTATTCCACAATTCCTCAACCCTTAGCAGGCCTCCTTTCTCGTTTTGTGCTGTTTCCTTTGTTTATTTTGACAGACGAATCCCCGATGCGGAGCGTATGTGACAGAGGATTTAGCACTCAGCGCCAGCTGGACTCAAATCAGCAGAAACGTGGAAAAAATAAGAGGCGGCAGTTCGGGTGGATGGCGCCTGATTATGATGCGCCCCTTGTATAACATATACCACATATAACGTATATGTAACGTATGTGCGGGGCATATATGAAATATGGACGAGTGAGCCGGAAAGGACCCTCATCAATATGGATATATGATGGACATGTGGGGCACGTTCGCTGCTTGAGCTTGAGACGAGTTTGTTAAATTAATTGCATAAGTAATTTACATAGCAATTATACGGACTCCGCCTAGAAAGGATGCAGCATTCAGTTGGCGGCTTCCGTAACTCGTTAGTTTGCATATAAATCAAAATGCTAATGCAATCGACTTGATATTTGCATTTGACGTAATCCTGCAAATTTGTAATTACGTAATGCCGCAAGCCGATTGCCAGTCGCAGTCGATGAGCTTTAATTGCGTTTCCGTTTCCGTTTCGCTGACTCATCGGAATCTTAACCCCAAACTCTTGGGCGGCAGGTGCACAAAAATTTCCTTTTACCTTTGCCCCTACGAACATTCCAAGGAAATGTGGGGAAATCGAAGGTGAAATGTGAGTGAGGAAAAGGTCAGGTGAAAGGACAGAAGAGAAAACACGTCAACGGAAGGAGATTTTTATTCAATTTTAATGTGCACATTTAGAGATTGATTTGATGGGAACAATGGAAGGGAAGCGGAAGGTAATTTTCTCTAAAGATAACTTAATTATTTCAATAATTTATTAATAAATCATATAAATATAACACAAATATAATATATAATATATTACTTAATATCTTCGAGATAATTAAAATATTCTTAATCAATCAGTATAGAAATATAAATCAATTAGCATATCAATATCGGTATAGTTTAATTAATGATTCCATTTAAAACTACACTAGCAACATTTATAGCTCTACTACTGCCTAAGCAATTGACTCTATACATATATTTATGATACTGTTCGATTAATATAATTAATTATCTTGAAAATAGATCAAATGCTCCGATTCTACTCAGTTGATTAGCATTTTACAATCAATCGAATAGTCATAAAAATGTTCAGAGATCATTTACCAATTGAGAGGTTATATATATACATATAAATGTTTAACTCAGCAAAGCGATTGATGATCGGCTATTTCGACAACTCAATCGATCAGCTTCAGGTCGAGCAACTATTGCACGAATACCTTTTAACGACTTAGCATATGAATCGCATTATGTTCGCCTTTGTTGTTGACTGTCCATCTTGGGATCAAAACCATACTGAGAAAAAGACATCTTGTGGCATATCGAATGACAAGACAAACGATCGGCGACTATGTCGATCCGCTTTTAATGCGCATTGTCAGGCATAAAGAGGCGACGATTAAAAATCAATATAAATATACCAATGGGTATTGTGATCGCACTACAATGGCAGTTTTAATCTGGTCTCTGGACACACTTATATCTGTATATAGAAACCATTATGCAAATATACCGGGTAAAGACCCCGTCCTATGTAAGCTGACCACTCATAAAGATGATTTATTCACGAATCACTGTTAATTTGCATAATTATAATGGCGTGAACAGCTGAAGAGTCGCCCCTAAGTCTGAGCCTAAAACTCGACCCCTAATCTATGGCTGCACAGAAAGGAATATATAATGATTTAGTTGGAAAATCAACCACAGTTCCATATAAGATACTTGAAACATATTTTAAATAAGAGCAAAGGCGAATCAAAGATATAAATAAAGTGAATGCTCTTAAACGTGAAATTCAAATTCAGTTCTGGGACTAGATATGTATTTTAAAGAGAATAACTGACTAATCTTTTATATTATATTAAATACTTAAAAATATTATTCCATTAAATATATTTTCAAATATATTTCTTTCTGTGTGTGAAGTTCAAATCTTCGCACGCTGCTCCAAGACAAAATGGCAACGCTTTTGAGATAGTATCTTATTGGGGTTGGGCTCTTTTCGGGCCAGATTTAGATGTGGTGGCACCTCGTGATCGATCCAACTGGATTGCCGCATTCACAACGAGATTGGGGACTGGGACCCAGCGACGAAGGCTTGCAAAAACTATATGCATAAATCACGTGCCAGCTGAATTGGACTTCTCACAAACAACTCACTGACGCAGAATGGAGAACGGACAACATAGACCAGAGACCGGAGAATGGAGATTGGAATGGAGTGGCTGCTCGGTAGAAATTTATGTAAATGCACAAGCCGAGACCCTGAACTTGAAACGAGTCGCCGGAGCAGAAGCTACGATCACTTCAGTCTGCCGTTGAGTTAACCGGTGATCGGTCGGAAATTTAAGCTGGGAACTGAGCCGAGGAGATATAGTTTGGATACCGCCTCAAGGACCATGTACAGGACGTGTTTTTTGGTAAGTTAAGAACTAGAAGAAAGTGTTTTGTTACTGTATAACAATTGTGCACCTTAAAGTAAGTTTTGATTCAGGAAAATTAATTTAAGCAAAAATGACTGATTCCCTTCAGGCAGTTTAAAAACTATTAAATTAAAAACCTTAATATAAAATATATTATCTTTAATTGAATTAACCTTTATGGAAAGTCCCCTTAAACTTTAAAAAACAAACCAATCATTTTTGTATTCATAAAATTTTATGGACCAATTCATGAAAACTAGATATTTTGATTTAAATTTGACGAATATAATTAATGCTGACGTTTATTTTTAAGAAAATGGAAATTAGATAATGAAACAAGTTTCATGTTTATGTAGACAAAGGCTTGGTTACTGTTTGGAAGTCACTTCTTTGCGGCTTTAATTATAGAAAGTAATTTATTATAGTTTGGCTTGGCAACTAGAACATTTAAAACTATATATATATATGCAGAGAGTATTCTAATTTTAGTTAGAAGAGTGTAAAGTAGTGAAGTAGTCATTTCCGACCCTATAAATCGTATATATTATTGATCAGCATCAACAGACGAATCGATCTACCTATGTCCGAGATAAATTTATTTTTTTCAAAAATTTCAAAATTTTAAAAGGGGTTAAAATTTTCAAAAATGCGAAAAAAACTTAATTTTTTTATATTTTAAATGTAGTATGCAGATTTATTAAGCTAATAAAAACTAACATTGAAACGTTTTCTGAATTAAATTTAATGCTGTTTTGACGTAGTTATGCGATTTTTAAACTTTGATTTTTAGCAAAAAATAGCCATAGAAAAATAAGAATTCGAAGAATGGAAATATTTGAGGATTGGTTATGATCTATTTCTGATTTGATACTATAATTTAATTTATCAGAAAGGGTATATAAAAATCGGCTTATTAATGTTTATAAAGTTACACATTTTTTATAGTTAGTTAGGCAACATTATCTCTAATATGGTTAGGTTTTAATATTAGTAACGTGATTTTAAATCCGAAAATCGAAAGTGAAAGCTTAATATCATTTAAAATATATGGCTTGTGTCCATTTATTATAATGATAATTTAATATAAGCTTTTAGGCTATTGTGGTTTTACATATTTGGTATTGATTAATTGATTGTTATTTATCTTGCAGCTGCTGATTATTGTGGCCCTGGCCAGTGGAGCCACTCGTGGCCGAGATTACCTGCCACGCCCCCCGGCAAAGGCTTACGTCTACCCCCCACCATCACCCAGCACAATGGCTGCCCTGCGGAGGATCATCCAGGGACACCTGGAGCGCTTCCACCAGGCGGAACTGAATCAGCAGGCGCAACAGCAGACCCAGTTCTCCCGCCGGGCCCTTGCCCAACAGACGAAGGCGGAATTGGGGCAAAAGCCGCAGGCCATGATGCAAGTGTATGTGGTTTCCGGTGCCGCCTCCGACAACGTCCTGGAGTATGCAGTGCCCCCCAATTCGCCGACGCCGAAGAACTATGCGCAGAACTTCCTGCCCGAGGGCAAGGATGTGGTACCCGGAAGCTCTTACATTCCGCTGCGGTTGCTAGTGATAAAGCGCTGAAATCGAAGCTACTATTTGTAGACATCATTTTTTCGGAGGCGGCAGCGTTTGTTGTCTAGAAACGAGTTCGGCTTCTGGCTGTGGAATGCCGCCGCCGCCGCCACCACCACCACTGATGATGAGTAGACAACCAGCCGAGTGCCTGGCTAATTTGCCTTAAGCTTACTGGTTCCTAGCACTAATTTAACGATACTTTAGTTGTGTATAATGTTTAATCTAAATTAAGACACCAACAACACTTCATCCGATCCATAACTAAGACTTACGACCTTATCGCATCCAATAAAACTGAAGCTAAGCCAAGCCGCGCGCCGTGTGCCGTCGTAATCTATGAAATACATTCACCAAAAGCGAACTTGTCATCTCATTTACATAAATTAGAAGTCATAAATTTGAAGTGAGCGGGGAAAAACTGAGCCGGAAACGGTTGGAAGCTACCAATCGGTTAAAAGCTGGCTAAAAACGTTAACAAAAGCTTTATTTCTCAACAGCTTTCTTGACTTATTCCAGTTTGTAAACCTTTAGATATATCTTCTTATAAAGCTCAAAGCTTTTTATGTTTTATGATGATATGCAAGCTTTAAATTATTTAAATTGCTATAAAAATACAGCAAAGATTTAGATAAATAAATTAACCTTTTTATAAAGAAATTATTATAATGTTGTTTTTTATCTGAAATTTCCATTGTCAGCTAGGCTTGCTTTGGTGACTCATTGCTCTGTTGACCGATCCCATTGCAATGTTTATTTTCCATGCGAATTTCTATGATAACCGGTTTTCACTAACATTACGGATTGTAAATTGTATAATTAACCTAAGGCACCTGAAAAAAACTATTATCCCCCAACCGAGTTCTTTTTCTTTGGCAAATATTATGTTTATAATATTGTTTAATAGAAATTTCGTAGATTGATGTGGAGTTTACACAACTTTCTTGTTTCGTTGGGATAAATTTTTTATCTTAACGAGATTCATGAGCAATGTCACTTTTTATCATGGTATCTTTTGGGTGTGTTTTGTCACTCTTATCTGTATTACTCAGGAAAGTACACAGTAAAAGATATACATTCAAGCTGTCATAAGATTATTATTACTAAAACACTTTTATTTTATAGTTATAAATATTTTATTTATTTAAATTTTCTTTTATTGCATATTTATTACATATATTAGTCTATATACATTTTAATATACTCTAGTTTTGTATACAAGACAGAATAATTTAAGTAATTCGAATACATATATATAATCTCTAAACTGTGCACACTTAGTTACTTGTACTATGAGTTCTCGATGAGTTCTTAAAATTAGATTCGGTACCCATTTCCATACCCATCATTTCATGGCCATGTTTCGGGCGTCGGAGTCGACACAATCCCAGCCAGGATTTCCGATTATCCTTGTTGAAGACCACAAAGTAGAGGAATAGAACGAATCCCTGCATTGTGGCCGTGATGCAAAAGAGATACGAGAATGCTTTTCCGAAATCAAAAAATGCGCACAATCCAAAGATCCAGGTGACTCCCAGGAGAAAGAAGAGCAGCACGGAGAGATGCAGTTGCTTCAAGATGAGATTCTGAGTGAAGAGTGCTCTGTGAACACTCCAATTGATGTATCCCAGCATCACGACATTGAAAAGGGTAATAAGGCCAATGGGCAGGATCACTCCCAGTCCCAGACCATATCCCGAGGGATAGCATAGGATCGGTATATCTTCTGTGGTGGCATTACCACTGGGTCTGTAGGAGGCAGAGTCCAGGAAAACCACCAGGAGCGTGGGTATCAGCGGCAGTGTCCAGGCCACCAGAGCAGACATCAGTATATAATGCTTCGGATGCTTGACCCCGATCACCTTCACATATCGCTTGTACTGCAGCCAGCCAATGATGAACATCCAACTGAAAACCACCAGGAGCAGGTACTGCATCAGGGCTCCCGTCACCAGACACCGATCGAAGTCAGTACTGCTCAGCTGTGTTAGCAAGTCACCTTCGCTCAGCACCAGGAACAGTGAGAGCTGAAGTCCCAGAGCCACGCACAGATTCAGCAGGATCTTCGTAGAGGCCAAGTTCCGGAAACGCTGGAACAGTGCCGCTGTCACAAAAATGGCCAAGAGTCCCATCAGCGATAGCGACAATCCCACATTTGTTATGATATCCAAAGGCAATTCCTCCCCGCTGGTGAGTTCGGTAATCAATTCAGGTGGCCTTCTGACTCCCAGCAGAAAAGTAAACTGGGTCAGGTGACTCGCATGACAAAGGATCACAGGATGCGATAAGTTATCTAATTGGATTTCGCTGTCATTGCCACTGGTGGAGATTCCATCGCTTAGCCAGGTCTCATAGTTCCAGTAGCCACAGCCTCCTTGGGCATGAGATTTATTCGTGTCGCCATTACGCAGAAAAAACGGGAGTTTGCCAGGTAGGTTGTGATCTGGAAAATAAATGAATTATTAGCTAAAACTTAATTTGGCTTTGGTGGGCATAAATTTTAAATTTAAGTTACGAAGTGAGTTAGTAACTTCGTTTTGTTTTAAAGCACAGTAGAACTAATTGTTCGGCATAATTTATGCAGTTTCAGTCAGCTGTTTTGTGCGGTATTTATGCAGCTGCCTTTTTATGACCAACTTTAAATGCACTTTATTGCTTTTCACTGCAGTTGTTTCACCTGTTTTTTACTGCAAAAGATGAAGATAACTTATTTTCTCACCGTCTAGTCCCGGTATCGTTATTGAGATAACATTGCTGGTTGGCCTTCGTTTCAGTTCCTCCGCCGTCTCCACAAACAGGGCATCGCGAGCGTAGACTTTGAAGATAAGGTAACGGGCTCCCCTTTCCTTCACATCCCGCCATAGTTTTTCGGGTAGAATTGCCGCACTCTCCAGGTTTTCAATGGCACGAATATCTTCCAGATTCTCCGATGATTGCAGAATTCTAAATTGTGATGTCAACCCCTCGGGAAAGATGGCAATGCCCGTCACATTGGCTATGGAGGGATCCACAAAGAAAACGCTCAGCTCTTTGGTTCTCAAAAGCACAACTCCTTTGTCGAGAATAGGTTGTGTTTCGACTTGAATATGATCTCGGGAAATCTGTAAGCTGGTTGTCCCATCTCCAGGTAAAAGCTGCGGGGCCAGAGCATCTAGATATTCCTCGAAATTGCTCAACAATGCGTTGGTGGCATTCTGCTCCGCTGCCAGGCGTAGGGTTTCACTATCAGTGGACATTACCTGTTGACAAATATTCATCAAATCCTCAATGTCATCCACCTTCTTTACGGATTTCTTGGCTTGAGAACTGAAAATCTCTGAAATGCTGACGATATCCGCGGCGTTTAGCGGCTCCTTCGAGTGAGTTATCAAGTCGCTTAGTTGGCTTAAATCCGATGAATTTTTTACTGCCAGAGTATCCAGATTTGTGCTTAGTTGTGGAGCCATTCTACAGGTTACATTTTCGAAACTCTGCCAGGTTTTTGTCCCGTTTCGGATCTGACACCTGCGCCTTCGCGGTACATTTCTTTCATCCAGACAAAGATCCCGCAAATGAGCTCGTTTTCCTACTTTGGTTGCCTCGACGCGATTTTTCCGATATTCATAGCCGTCTTTGGTTTCATATTTAATTTGGAAATCCTCGGCCTTGCAGTCTCCTTCAGTGCAGTCCTTAAGAGGACTCTTCTCCAGCTTGCCATCTTCGCCAATACAGAGGAGGAAGCGTACGTTCTTCAGGTGGCAATAATCCAGACACTTGCTAAAGTCCGCCGGATTCAAGTGTTGCGTCTCTTCCGAGCTGTCTTTCGAAGCGTATGCAAGTGCTATATTGCCAGCAATTAAACACAAGAACACCAGACTTGGCATCTTCTTATCGAAGATTCTCTATTTGTTTATTCTTGCTATTACTTTTTTTTAATTTAATTATATTCAAGAGCAGGCTGCGTTGTCGCACTCCCGAGCTCTGCGATCGACTGACGAGGAACATCGCGTACGACGATGAAACTTGTTTCCGTCTCTTAACAGAGTACCCTGGAATAGGGCCTGCCAGAATCGTTTCTTTTGCCAGTCTCTTGAAAGTGACATCTAGTTCGAGTTAAGCTCAAGGCCGACTGGTTAGTGGTCCAGTTAGTGCTCAGGATGGCAGCATCTTTAAAGGTCTAACAAGTGAACTTCTTTCACTTTTTGTAGCTTGGCATGCATCTTGAAGCATTCGAATTTTAAATAATTTTATAAATACCATTCAAAACCAACAAAAGAAATATATTATTCCAATACTCGGCCTAGAATTTTTATAATTAAAATTAAAAAGGTTTTGTCTATATTGATTACTACTTAGGGTAATTTGCGGTACGACTCTCAACTTGTCGTAGGGTTCTCTCTGATAAAAAACTGAGATACCGCAACTATATTCATGCAATGATCGGTAGCTGTTTTGATAACCAGAAAACCTTTAGATACTTCATCGCCGCCACACACTGCAAAATGTAAGTACATTCAAATATTTGCACTTGCACAAAAACTGTGACGTTTATCTTCTTACAATTTTGTTTTAATTATGGAAACATAACTCTAGATATCTGGGATATAAAGCAAAGATGAATGGTGTACCTGTTCCTGCTAGAAAAAAATGTGTTAAGTTGTTAAGTTTCTTAAATTTAGTACAATATAATGTTTAATCTCCCTTATGCAGACTTGTCTGATTCCTCGAAAGAATTGAGTTTGTTTGCCAAAGATATGGATAAGTATTTTATGAGCAATTGTAGATAAGATAACATGCATTACTTTGAAATAGAAACAAAATCTTTGAGCTAATTTCTATGCAAAAGTTAACCTACTTTTAAAATGAAATAGTATAAAAATTAAAACTAAAATAACTAGACTTACTTATGTTTAAATGTAATTTCTTTCAGTGCTTCCACTCATAAATATAAATCCACAGCTTATAAGATCAAATCTGTCGATAGGTGGCCATAGAATTAACCGCGTGAATAATTAGATGCCACTCGAACGGCTGCCACCAACATCGCCGCCGATCACTTGAGTTTTTTTCCCCCTTTCTGAATTGCCACTCGAGTTTGAAGAACTCGCGCGCGCCTCTAGAATAGGGTCTAAATATTTCCCGGCGTTATGAAGAATCACAGCTTTATTGCTGATTAATTGCTATAATTACAACTGTTTCTATACAGCGTGGTTTGGTAGTGTGCACCTTTCAATTTATGATTCAATAGGGTGCATTTACCTTTGAATAACTTCTGTATATATGGCTTCGCATTGAATACTTTCACGCTCATGAATTGCAGTCGAATGCAGCTTGTTGTTTTTAAACTATGCCCTCTGGCCTTTGCAATACAATTCATAGAAATCAATAAATGCTTCCCTGCCCAAATGGTCATATTTATTTTTAATTATTATTGCTGTAAATCAATACTGCAATAATTGAGAGATGCCATGGCATGCTGGGATATTATTTACATTAACCCACTTATAGAATAAAGCAATGCAATTAAATAGGAGATTCCATTCAGGCTAATCGGAGTAATTTTAAAACGTATGTAGCTGCAAGCTTTGAGATAAGTAATTACTTTGAGCTTAGTACGATGGTGATGATATATATTCAAAATGAAATATAATATACCTAAATGTATATTCACAGATAATAATTGTTTGTGTTCCCAAAAAACCGATTGCTCAAATCGAAACTGCCCAAACTCGCTTATCAATTTGTTATTTAAAACTTTCCAACGTCTTGTATCACATTCAAACATTCATTCCTATGGCAACATTTTTCTTTCCCCGTTTCTCTGTGAAATTTCCAAGTGTGAGGGATTTGGGGTTTGAAGCACGTAAATGCCACAAAAAGACGTAGAAGCGGAGGGTCCTTATGCCTGCTGCCTTCTTTTCGCATTGTCATGGAAGATGGTCTCGTCCCGGCAAACATGTTTCAGCAGAGTCGGTTCCACTTCAGAAATTTATTTACTCAAGTGTGATGCGATTATCCTGATGCACTTGTCCTTTGTCTCAATGCGCTAGTTACGCCCGCTGGGCACCACTGCCGCCCATAAAACTCACAAACAGAATGGAATTTCGAATTTTTGTGAGTTAACAGACTTCAGCATCTCTCTTGTACTATGTGCAGCAATTGGGATGCCAATGTAGGAAGCCGATGCCTAGAAAACTTTGTTAACCCCTTTGGCTGGGCGCTCTTAATTAAATGCCAGCCAGATAGTCATCTCCAGGCACCGAACTTGATTGGTGTCCGGCGGCAGGACTCGCCTTCTGCAGCAAAACACGCTCCATTTCCCTGGGACAATGTGCCAAGTCCTCCCGATGAGTTGGCTTCTTTTATTCCGCGGTTATCCGCATTTCCGCATCTTCCTTCCTCCCAACGAAACTGAAACTGGATCAGGAATCTGCCTTGTAACGACTTGGAGTGTCCAGAACAATCGCCGTCAATCCTTTAGTGGTCAAATTCTTTCCCTTAGTTTGCTAGGATTAGAGTTTAAGGAAAGAAGAAAGATGTATATTTAATACCAAAATAATTATCAAATGTTTCTGCATTCTTCTTGTAACAATTCCAATTAATTTCAATTATTATTAGTTAGCAAACCAAACAATATTTACTGTTTTAAGTGTATTTAATAATTTGCTTTCTGTTATTTACATAGTTGGTTAGCTGCTCCTCCTCGACTTTTGCATTTGCGTAAAGCCATACCCGTCGGCATTCTGAAAATGGCTTTGACAGTCACCAAGCTGGCCGGTTAACCGGGGACCTGGTTACTGGGTTAGTGCCTCCATCTGCCAGCTGACTCCTTCGTCAGTGTCACCAGCAGCGATGGCACGTCAACAACTCGGGGAAAAGGTGTCTGTTTTTGTTACGCGATGCTCTTTCGACCCTTTGTGCATAGTGGCCAGCACAATTAAAAGTCAGACAATGTGTTTAATTATGTTTGCCGAGTGTAATTAATTTATGCGCATCCACTTGATGCACTTTTTGCTGTCACAAGGTGCAGTGGATGTCACTAACAGGTGCTTGTTTAGCCACGCCCCAGTGCGTCCCATTGGCGTAGAGACACCACTACCTCCTAACTAACTCTCTAATACCTCCTAACTCCCCCATAGACCAACCTAAACCCACCCTAACACCCGCCCACCCATTCAATTTCAATTACTGTACAACGAGGACTCTGTTTGCCGTTTGCAATGCAAGTGGCTCTAATTTATTTGGCGCAGAAATGTTCATCTGCTCGACTGAAGCTGCCCGAAAATCTATTGTCGTAGGTAAATTATGCGTGAGCCATTGACTGAGTCCTGAATCCGATGGAATCCAGCCGTTGAGCGTTGCCAGTTGACAAAAATCAGCAGCAGCAGCAGTAGCAGTAGTAGCAGAAGGAAAGTAAATAAAGTCGGCAATAAATAACGCCGGAAACGGAAGTGGGCCGGGTGGCAATAAGAAGGTGAATGCAAAGCAAACAATTGCAGGAGAAAATCGAGCGACTGATTTACACCGCATCTAACAAGTCAGAGTTACAAGGGTCCAGTGACACCTTAGGGGAAAGGAAATCATTTCTTAGGATTTTCTAGACCTTGAAGAACTCAATTATAAAATGGTTAAATGTACAATATTTTAAACAAGCTTTTTATCACATATTATAACTTGAACAAAAATGCTGTCCAAAGGATTCTAGAATTATTTTTACTCACGTTTTATATTAACATTTTAATTATAGAGTAAAGTAATAAAATTGATTTTAATATAAATATATATATATAAAACAATAAGGAACAAGAAAGGAAACTAAATTCCCTTGCAGCATAACTAAACTGTAAATATTCGAATATTTACGAGAAATAAATTATTAAAAAACTCATAACTTGGTGAAAAACGCATTAATTTCAAATCGGAAAGCGTTCCTACGCTATTTTTTATAAGGTTATTAAATCTGCATACACAATTTAAAATTTAAAAAATTTGAAATTCTTTGTCAAATTTTGATAAATTTAATTTATTAAACTTTCAAATTTTGAAAAAATTTCAAAAATTTATTTTTTGACCGGACATAGCTAGATCAATTGATGCTGATCAAGAATATATATGATTTATATGGTCAGAAATGACTCCTTCACTGAGTTTGACTAAAATTATGATACGTTCTAAGGGTATAATAACACCGGTGCGTATACGTAATATTTTTGTATTTACCTGAAAGACTCCTGACAGCAGTACAAGCCTCTGACTAAAATAATATACTTTCATATACGTATTATAGCACCTATAAAATAAAAAAAATCCAGTTTGCATTAAAATAAAACAAGGAAAACGCTTAACTCTAATGATCAATTGAGTTTATTTTAACATTATCAAATATCTCTATAAATAGTCTGTAGTAAAGAAATGATATAAACAATATTTAAAATAATATAGAAAATAAAATAAGAGGTAAACATTTTTTAAAATAAATAAAATATTCTATTTAATACCATCATTTCAAAATAAGGTGTCCGCCATCTGTTGGTTGGTATCTGAACGCCATGAGAGCGAGATGGAGCTAAAGAGCGAGCTTTTCCCAGCAGCAAAGCTTTTCCGCTCGGGTTTTCCCCCCGACGACCAGCAACAACAAACAGCTGAGTGGGCCAGGCAATTGGCACAGGCAAAGGCAGCGGCAACAAAGGCAAGGAAAAGCGGACAAGTGTCCTGGTCCTGCTGCTGCTGCTTCTGGCTCGAAAGCCGCCTTTAAATCGGCAGGACGAGGCAGCCAGCGCTCAGTCGTCGACGGCTGTTCCACGCGAATCGTTCACTCCGACGGACAGTGCACGGCGGACAGTATCAGCCAGCGGAGTGGGAATCGCTCCTCCGAATCCTCATCCGCATTCGCATCCGCATCCGCATCCGTATCCGTGTTCGCAGTCCGAGTCCTCGCGCGCGTCTTATCAGGCGACAGAGTCAGTGAAAGTGGAA